CAAGACCGCCCCAAGACCACCGCAGAGGCCCCCAAAAGAGCCCCAGGACGGCCCCAGGGAGCCCGAGGACAGGTTTTTTTCGGCTCAAGGTATTCTGGTGGGCGGGGCAGATACTCGGGTGAGGCGCGAGAGGGGCGGCGCGCCATCCCTGCCCGGCGATGTCTGACGACGACCTCATGTCGCCGCCCGGCGGCCCTGCGGAGGACGACTCCGACTACGGGGACCTTCCCCAGGACACGGGGCTGCCCGGGGGCTCAGAGCTCCCAGATGGAATTCAGAAGGAGATCATCAACGAGGCGGATCCCGACGATTGGAAGAGGCCGAAGTCTGGCGACGAGGTGACGGTCCACTACGTCGGCAAATTGGCGTCCGACGGATCGGTGTTTGACTCGTCGAGAGACAGGCAGACGCCCTTCGTCTTCACCCTTGGCAAGGGCGACGTGATCGCAGGCTGGGACAAGGGCGTCGCCACGATGAAGAAGGGCGAGCTCGCCACGTTCACGATTTCCCCAGAGTTCGCCTACGGGGCCACAGGCCAGCCGCCCAAGATCCCGGAGGACGCCACGCTAATCTTTGAGATCGAGCTGCTGTCCTTCGTCGCCAAGGACGACCTCTTCGGGGATGGCTGCGTGATCAAGACGGTGTTAGCGGAGGGCACCGGGTGGACGAAGCCTAAGCTCGACGATGAGGTGTTCATTGATGTGCGGGCCACCGCGGCGGCGGGGGGGCCCGCGAAGGATTGGGCCGGCCTGGAGTACAGGCTGGGCTCCAGCGCCCTCGGGCCGCTGGGCAGGGCCTGCGACGCCGCCCTGAAGGGCATGAAGAAGGGCGAGGAGGCCCTGCTGCGGTGTACCAAAGATTATTCATGCGAAGATTGGTCCGATGGCGTGGAGGTGACCATCAAGCTGCAGGAGATCTTCGAGACGCGCGACATCTCCTTCAGGAAAGACGGTGCCGTCCTCAAGAAGAGAACTCGAGAAGGCGAGGGTCATGCCACACCGACGGAGGCTTCGAAGGTGACACTCAGTGTGGAGGACGCGCGGCAAGCTGACGCGCTGGTCCCGGGCTTTGCGAGCCAGGTGCTGGAGTTCACCCTCGGCAGCGGGGAGGTGTGCGACGCGCTCGAGTGCGCGGCCGCGCACATGAAGAGGCTCGAGCGGGCGACGCTGACCGTGGCGCGCCCAGCGCTGGCCGCGGAGGCCAGACTGGGCCTGAGGGACGTTGGCGCTGGTGGCGAGTCGATCGTCCTCAAGCTCGAGATGAAGGAGTTCGAGAATGGTAAGGAGCAGTGGAACATGTCGGACGAGGAGAAGCTGAAGTTCTGCGACGAGCGCAAGGCCCTGGGGAACTCGCTCTTCAAGGCGGGCAGACTGGACCTGGCCCTCGGGCGCTACAAGAAGGTCGGTGATGTACTCTCATACATCGACAATTTCCCTGAAGACGCCAGGGCGAAGGCACGGGAATTGAAGCAGGCATGCGAGCTGAATATGGCCATGTGTTATCTGAGAAGGAACGACTATGACGAGGCCAAGGCTGCTTGCAACAAGGTGTTGAACGACGACAGAGGCAACGTGAAGGCCCTCTACCGGCGGGCCCAGTGCGAGCACGCGCTCCGCAATTTCGAGGAGTGCATCAGGGACTGCAAGCGCGTGGCCGAGGGGGACCCGCAGAACCGGGAAGTCCGGGCCCTGCTGAAGCAGGCCATGGAGGGCCAGAAGGAGGTGAACAGACAGGCGAAGGGGATGTACGCGAACATGATGAGTGGTTTGGGCAAGTCCGCGGGAGCGTGACGGCAGCTGTTTCTGAGGCCGCCTTCGTGGGCGCGCGCAAGCAACGCCCGCGCATCAGATGTGTATTTCCGCCGCCCTCGTCTCTGGCGGTCATGGTACTTGGATGTATCGGCCAGCCCACGGTACGGGCAGGGAGCACCGGATCCACGCTGGCCAAGGCCTGAGGTCCACCGTGCACGCCGCTGTACAGGATGATGTTTGCATCTCGCGATTTTTGTTGTTTTTGAGCATATCTACCCGGTGTCGCATTTGAAGTGCGAGGTATAGTCGGCTTCTCGGCCTGTGAGCTTGCGCGCCAGCGGCTAGGATGCTTAACATACCAAATACCAGGATCGCAGCTCCTCGCCTGAGCGAAAAGAAAAAGAGAGCCCCAGGGCAGGCCCAAGCTGGGCCACAGAGCGGGAGCGGGAGGCCCCAAGGCGCTCCAAGACAGGCCAGATGGCCCCAACGTGACCCCAGATGGGCCCAACACGGCCAATACACAGCCCAAGAGCTCTCCAAGAGGCCCCAAGAGAGCTCCGAGAGGCGTCCCGAGAGAGCCCGAAGAGGCCCAAATCCTTGATTTCCGGTAGGTTCTCTATGTTGTTCGCTTTCTCGCGTTCTCGACCTTCCAACGCTCCAAGACGGCCGAAGACGCCCCGAAGATCGCCTCAACCGAAGAGGCCCCCAAAAGAACCCCAAGACGGCCCCGGAGAGCCTGAAGATTGCCCAAGAGCAGCAGCCCAAGACTGCCCAAGAGAATCCCAGGAGAGGCACAAGATGGGCCTCAGAGCGGGAGCGGGAGGCCCCAAGGCGCTCCAGGACGGCCCAGCCCACTTGATCCCAACGTGGCCCAAGAGGAGCTCAAGACGTCAAACACACAGCCCAAGAGGCCTTCAAGAGGGCCCAATAGAGCTCCGAGAGACGTCCCGAGTGAGCCCAAAGAGGCCAACATTATTGTTTTCGTTTTCTCGCGTTCTCGAACTTCAATGCCCGAAGACGCCCCCAAGACCGCCCCAAGACCGCCGAAGAGGCACCCAAAAGAGCCCCAAGACGGCCCCAGGGAGCCCGAAAATTGCCCAGGAGGAGCCCCAGACGGCCCAAGAGAGCCCCAGGACAGGCCCGAGCTTGGGGCACAGAGCGGCAGCGGGAGGCACCAAGGCGCTCCAAGACGGCCCAGATGGCCCGGGCTTCTCTCCTCCGTCCCTCCTTCCTCCCGCCCCCTTCCCTTGCCTCCATTCCCTCCTCTCTGCTCTTCCTCCGCTCACCCCTCAGCTTTCGTGCTCCCCCCTCCTCTCCTGGGACGGCCCCGCCACATCGCCAGACAGGCCCCGCCAGAGCCAACGGGGCATCGCTAAATCCTATCATTTCACAAGTTGTTGTGCCCCTCCCACCCCTCTAGGGCGGCCCCGGCAGAGCGAGAGGGGTGTTGCTATACCATATGCAGTCCCTGTTTTGTCTTGCTGTTCCCACCGCGCCCGAGGTAGCCCCGTCAGAGTGCACGTGCTTTTCCTTCTCCTCCTGGGCAAGCCCCGCCAGAGCGCCAGGGACCCCCCCGCCAGAGAGAGCAGGGCATCCCTACACCCGGGCGAGCGGGGTGTGGTTATACTATACAATTTGTCAGGTTTCGTGTCAGGTTTCGTGCCCTTCCCTCACCTCCTGAAGGGCCTCGCCAGAGCGCCAAAAAGGCGTCGCCAGAGGCCCCGTCAGAGCTCCAGGCAACCCCAGACATGGGACTTGCCCAGCAAATCAGTGAGCATCCACCGTGGGCCCGAATCTTTTGATCCCACGGGTGCGATTATCGCCAGCATGAGGTTTGGTGTTCAGCACAAAGAAGCTTCCCCACTCCCGTGGGCGGATTCGACAACAATTGATTGCAGAGAAGGGCGCCGATGACCGGGACATCTGCGCGCGCACTCTGCAGACATCCGACAGCTGAACGACCGCTGAAAACGAGAAACCTGGAACACAAGGGAGGGGGCGAAGAACAACGCGCCCCCACGCGCGCGCAACGAGGCCCCGAGCCAATCCCAACCTCAGGAGCCGGCGGATGTCTGCGTGATCGGGCATGGGAGGGGAGGGGAGCGGACAAACCAAACAAAACAAAGCTATACATAACAATGATTTCGGGATAACTTTTGAGGGAGGGATGCTCGAATTTGCCCGAAACCATTTTTTATTCGTTTTTGCTCCCCCGTATGATTTTGCTGGATTCCGCCCCCGAGGAGGGAATCTGATTGGAAGGAGGAGGAAATGGAGGAGGAAAAGGAGGAATGGGAAGAGGAGGAAGAGGAGTGGAGAAGACACGTATCGATGCCCTTCGAAACCGTTTCAAAGACGTCGGAACCACAAAAGCAACCGTCGATAACAATAATTAATCATAACAATACTAATAATAGTCATAATGGATAATAATAAGAATGCGAATGCGAATAATAAGGATAATCATATGAATATAATGATATCCCCGTGCACGAGGCCCGGGCGCCCGGGGCCCGGGGCCCGAACGCGAATGGCAAGCCCAGGGTTTCCCAGACCGCTCCCAAAGCACCCCGGAGCGGCCCTGGAGCTCCCAGACTGCCCCAGAGAGCTCCCAGAAACCCTCGAGGACTTGGACAAGCCCCTCCAAGACAGCCCAGATAGCCCCAACGTTGCCCCATATGAGTTCGAGACGGCAAATCAACAGCCCAAGAGGCCTCCAAGGGGCCTCAAGAGAGCTCCGAGAACATTCCGAGAGAGCCCGAAGAGGCCCAAATGGTTGATTTCCATTGGTTTTTATGTTTTTCGGTGTCTCGCGTTTTCGACCTTCCGACGTTCCACGACGGCCCACGACGCCCCCAAGACCGCCCCAAGACCGCCGAAGAGGCCCCCAACAGAGCCCCAAGACGGCCCCAGGGAGCCAAACATTGTCTTGGAGGAGCCTCAGACGGCCCAAAAAGAGCCCCAGGACAGGCCCAAGCTGGGCCACAGAGCGGGAGCGGGAGGCGCCAAGGCGCTCCAAGACGGCCCAGATGGCCCCAACGTGGCCTCGGATGGGCCCAACACGGCCAATTCACAGCCCAAGAGGCCTCCAAGAGGCCTCAAGAGAACTCCGAGAGGCGTCCCGAGAGAGCCCGAAGAGGCCCAAATCCTTGATTTCCATGATTTGTTTTTCACTGTGTTTTTCGGTGTCTCGCGTTTTCGACCTTCGACGCTCCACGACGGCCCACGACGCCCCCAAGACCGCCCCAAGACCACCGCAGAGGCCCCCAAAAGAGCCCCAGGACGGCCCCAGGGAGCCCGAGGACAGGTTTTTTTCGGCTCAAGGTATTCTGGTGGGCGGGGCAGATACTCGGGTGAGGCGCGAGAGGGGCGGCGCGCCATCCCTGCCCGGCGATGTCTGACGACGACCTCATGTCGCCGCCCGGCGGCCCTGCGGAGGACGACTCCGACTACGGGGACCTTCCCCAGGACACGGGGCTGCCCGGGGGCTCAGAGCTCCCAGATGGAATTCAGAAGGAGATCATCAACGAGGCGGATCCCGACGATTGGAAGAGGCCGAAGTCTGGCGACGAGGTGACGGTCCACTACGTCGGCAAATTGGCGTCCGACGGATCGGTGTTTGACTCGTCGAGAGACAGGCAGACGCCGTTCGTCTTCACCCTTGGCAAGGGCGACGTGATCGCAGGCTGGGACAAGGCCCTCGCCACGATGAGGAAGGGCGAGCTCGCCACGTTCAGGATTTCCCCAGAGTTCGCCTACGGGGCCACAGGCCAGCCGCCCAAGATCCCGGAGGATGCCACCCTAATCTTTGAGATCGAGCTGCTGTCCTTCGTCGCCAAGGACGACCTCTTCGGGGATGGTTGCGTGATCAAGACAGTGTTGGCGGAGGGCACCGGGTGGAGCAAGCCTAAGCCCGACGATGAGGTGCTTATTGATGTGCAGGCCACCGCGGCGGCGGGGGGGCCCGCGAAAGACTGGGCCGGCCTGGAGTACAGGCTGGGCTCCAGCGCCCTCGGGCCGCTGGGCAGGGCCTGCGACGCCGCCCTCAAGGGCATGAAGAAGGGCGAGGAGGCCCTGCTGAGGTGTACCAAAGACTATTCATGTGAAGATTGGTCCGATGGCGTGGACGTGAACATCAAGTTGCAGGAGATTTTCGAGACGCGCGACGTCTCCTTCAGGAAAGACGGTGCCGTCCTCAAGAAGCGAACTCGAGACGGCGAGGGTCATACCACACCGACGGAGGCTTCGAAGGTGAAACTTAGTGTGGATGACGCGCGGCAAGCTGACGCGCTGGTCCCGGGCTTTGCGAGCCAGGTGCTGGAGTTCACCCTCGGCAACGGGGAGGTGTGCGACGCGCTCGAGTGCGCGGCCGCGCAGATGAAGAGTCTCGAGCGGGCGACGCTGACCGTGGCGCGCCCCGCGCTGGCCGCGGAGGCCAGACTGGGCCTGAGCGACGTTGGCGCTGGTGGCGAGTCGATCGTCCTCAAGCTCGAGATGAAGGAGTTCGAGAATGGTAAGGAGACGTGGGACATGTCGGACGAGGAGAAGCTGAAGTTCGGCGACGAGCGCAAGGCCGTGGGGAACTCGCTCTTCAAGGCGGGCAGGCTGGACCTGGCCCTCGGGCGCTACAAGAAGGTCGGTGATGTCTTCTCATACATCGACAATTACCCCGAAGACGCCAAGGCAAAGGCACGGGAAATGAAGCAGGCATGCGAGCTGAATAAGGCCATGTGCTACTTGAAAATGAACGACTATAGCGAGGCCAAGGCTGCTTGCAACAGTGTGCTGAAAGACGACAAGGGCAATGTGAAGGCTCTCTTCCGGCGGGCCCAGTGCGAGCACGCGCTCCGCAATTTCGAGGAGTGCATCAGGGACTGCAAGCATGCGGCCGAGGCGGACCCGCAGAACCGGGAAGTCAGGGCCCTGCTGAAGCAGGCCCTGGAGGGCCAGAAGGAGGTGGACAGGCAGGCGAAGGGGATGTACGCGAACATGGTGAATGGCTTGGGCAAGTAGCAGGCGGTCGAGCAAGTCCTCAGGAGGCGTGACGGCAGCTGTTTCTGAGGCTGCCCTCGGGGGCGCGCGTCAGCAACGCCCGCGCATTAGACGCGTATTTCCTCCGCCCTCGTCTCTGGCGGTCATGGCCATTGGATGTATCAGCCAGCCTACGTTACGGGCAGGAAGCACCGGATCCACGCTGGCCAAGGCTTGGGGTCCACTGTGCACGCCGCTGGACAGGGACATGCTTGCATCTCGCAGTTTTGTTGTTTTGAGCATATCTACCCGGTGTCGCATTTGAAGCGCGAGGTACAGTCGGCTTCTCGGCCTGTGAGCCTGCGCACCAGCGGCGAGGATGCTTAGAATACTATTTCAAATACCGTGGTCACAGCTCCTCGCCAGAGCGAAAAAAAAGACGCGGCCTGTGAGCTTGCGCGCCAGCGGCTAGGATGCTTAACATACCAAATACCAGGATCGCAGCTCCTCGCCTGAGCGAAAAGAAAAAGAGAGCCCCAGGGCAGGCCCAAGCTGGGCCACAGAGCGGGAGCGGGAGGCCCCAAGGCGCTCCAAGACAGGCCAGATGGCCCCAACGTGACCCCAGATGGGCCTCAAGACCGCCGAAGAGGCCCCCACAAGAACCCCAAGACGGCCCCGGAGAGCCTGAAGATTGCCCAAGAGCAACAGCCCAAGACTGCCCAAGAGAATCCCAGGAGAGGCACAAGATGGGCCCCAGAGCGGGAGCGGGAGGCCCCAAGGCGCTCCAGGACGGCCCAGCCCAATTGATCCCAACGTGGCCCAAGAGGAGCTCAAGACGGCAAACACACAGCCCAAGAGGCCTTCAAGAGGGCCCAATAGAGCTCCGAGAGACGTCCCGAGTGAGCCCAAAGAGGCCCAAATCATTATTTTTCTCGCGTTCTCGAACTTCCAATGCCCGAAGACGCCCCCAAGACCGCCCTAAGACCGCCGAAGAGGCACCCAAAAGAGCCCCAGGAGGAGCCCCAGACGGCCCAAGAGAGCCCCAGGACAGGCCCGAGCTTGGGGCACAGAGCGGCAGCGGGAGGCACCAAGGCGCTCCAAGACGGCCCAGATGGCCCGGGCTTCTCTCCTCCGTCCCTCCTTCCTCCCGCCCCCTTCCCTTGCCTCCATTCCCTCCTCTCTGCTCTTCCTCCGCTCACCCCTCAGCTTTCGTGCTCCCCCCTCCTCTCCTGGGACGGCCCCGCCACATCGCCAGACAGGCCCCGCCAGAGCGAACGGGGCATCGCTAAATCCTATCATTTTACAAGTTGTTGTGCCCCTCCCACCCCTCTAGGGCGGCCCTGGCAGAGCGAGAGGGGTGTTGCTATACCATATGCAGTCCCTGTTTTGTCTTGCTGTTCCCACCGCGCCCGAGGTAGCCCCGTCAGAGTGCACGTGCTTTTCCTTCTCCTCCTGGGCAAGCTCCGCCAGAGCGCCAGGGACCCCCCCGCCAGAGAGAGCAGGGCATCCCTACACCCGAGCGAGCGGGGTGTGGTTATACTATACATGTTGTCAGGTTTCGTGCCCTTCCCTCACCTCCTGAAAAGGCCTCGCCAAAGCGCTAAGAAGGTGCTGCCAGAGGTCCCGTCAGAGAAAAGGCAATCCCATACATGGGACTTGCCCAGCAAATCATTGAGCATCCACCGTGAGCCCGAACCTTTTTGATCCCGCGGGTGCGATTATCGCCAGCATGAGGTTTGGCGCTCAGTACAAAGAAGCTTCCCCACTCCCGTGGGCGGATTCGACAACAACTGATTGCAGAGAAGGGCGCCGATGACCGGGACATCTGCGCGCGCATTCTGCAGACATCCGACAGCTGAGCGACCACTGAAAACGAGAAGCCTGGAACACAAGGAAGAGGACGAACAACAACGCGCCCCCACGCGCGCGCAACGAGGCCCCGAGCCAATCACAACCTCAGGAGCTGGCGGATGTCTGCGTGATCGGGCATGGGGATACCGAACATATGTGCAAAACGTTGAGTGTCACGACCGGGCAGAGCGGAAGTGAAAGTGGAGAAAAAGGCGGAGTTCGGTAAACCACAAAAGGGCGGCAGCGACATTTGTTGGGGGGGGGCGCCCATGGCATGGGCCCGAGAACGTTGGAAATCGTCGTTGTGGCCGCAGCGGGGCTTACAGCGGCGCCCGTGGTTAATGTGCGACTAGATCCCAAGTGCGCGCGTAGCGCGCGTGGTGCTAGTGTGTGTGTACATATAAATAGGCGGCTCCCAAGCTGGTCCGTGATCGTCGTCGTCGTCGTCGGCGTCGAAGCGGAGAAAGAAAAACAGATAAAGCGAGAGAGGCCTAAATATCCGACGATCTGATTTTTCAAGTTCAGTTTTTGTTCCCCCTTCTTTCGGCCTTTCTGAGGGGGAGGGAGCCCAGGGCAATCAAAAGTGGTTCCAGGATTGACATGTGCCCCCCGGGGAAGCGGTTGCGAGCTTTGGGGGCGCGGATTGACAACATGTCGTCGGGTGTCTGGGGAGGGAGGGTGGGGAGACGATGTTGATGTGGAGCACGGCGCGGCGGTCAGCGCGGACGAGGGGTTAGCCGACCCCCGCGGATCCCTCTGGCCGACCCTGGTTTGAGCCATGCGGAGCCGAGAACCCCCCTCTCCTCTCTCCGCTGACGCGGGTTTGGGGGCTAGTGTGCTTCATGCGGCTGTCCTGGGTTCACGACGTGGCCCTGGTCGATCCAGGTCAGCGTTGCCCCGGATCAGCGCGTCCCCGAGAAAGGGAGACAGAGAGAGAGAGAGAGAAGGGATGAGGATGAGAATGAGGAAGAGGAGGAGGAAGACGAGGAGGAGGAGGAACACTACATTCTGATGATGAAGATATGTTTCTGCTTTTCCTAATTGGGCCCGCCTCAAAGCTTACTACGTCTTCAGCAGTGAGCAGCGCTGTCTGGTGTCACTCGCCATGCCGGTTCCTTGCGACTGGGGCGTCGGTTTTTGACGCGCATTTCTTATGCCACAATGTGTTGCCATGCTCGGCAGTGTTGTGATATGTTGCGCAGTGTTGTGCCTGCTGCTACTAATTACAGGGCTATGCTGTGCGTTATGTGCTATGTTTTGCTGCGGTGGGCCGTGACGTGCGGGGAGAATGAGACAGAAGCAGGAGGGGGAGAATGAGCAGGAGGATGAGGACCAGTGGAAACCCGATGGAATACACCCTCCCTCCAAGCTCCCTCTGCATAGGCCCCTATGAGGGTTCATTTCCACAGATGGAACTGCCACGTTGGAAGACAACCGTTTGAAGACCCTGAAGCATGCCAAAACATCGTTCTCGGGATTCCATCGCCACGGATCGACCTGACAGTCGCGTCTTGACGATCCAGAATCGTGCCAGAACTCCGTTCTTGGGACGTCAGCAACGCGAACCAATGTGACTGCTGCACCCTCATAATCTTGAATCCTTCCAGAATGCCGCTGATCATGGGAATCCGCGAAACCCTTGCAAATTTTTAAGAAGGAATGTGCGCGCCGCTAAGGCGAGAGCCACATGTTTAAAACCGCCCTCAATCCGTGAAACTCTTGCAAATGCTTAAGACGAATATGCGCGGCGCTAAGGCGAGAGCCACACTAGAAAACGGTCGCCCTCAATTCGCGAAGCACTTGCACATGTTTAAATCGAATGCGCGCGGCGCTAAGGTAAGGGCCACACTTAAAAGACGGGTCGCCCTCGATCCATGTTTGCAACGAGTGTGCGCGGCGCTGAGGCGAGAGCCACCTATTGAAAACGGGTCGCCCTCAATCCGTGAAATTCCTGCAACGTTTTAAACATATGCGCTGCGCTGGGGCGTGAGCCACATTTCGAAAACGGGTCGCCCTCAATCCGTGAAGCTCTTGCACATGTTTAACGCGAATGTGCGCGGCGCTAAGACGAGAGCCACATTTTGAAAACGGGTCGCCCTCAATCCGTTAAGTTCTTGCACATATTTAAACGAATGTTCGCGGCGCTGAGGCAAGAGTCACAGTTTGACGACGGGTCGCCCTCAATCTGTGAACCTCTTGCAAAGGTGAATATCGAATGTGCGCGGCGCTCAGGCGAGAGCGGCATTTTGAAAACGAGCCGCCCTGAATCCGTGAAACTGTTGTCGTTTCATCAATGGTGAGGAAGTCTCAGGCGAAACGCTCGGCCCTCCCTAAAACTGGCTTCGGGGTGCGACAGGGACAAGTTATTTTCTAATGAGAAGGAATAGAGGAATAGAGGAGGAGGAAGAGGAGGAGGAGAAGGAGGAGGGGAGGAGGAGGAGGAGGAGGAGGAGGCGGTGGAGGAGGAGGAGGAAGGAGGAGGAGAAGAGCAGTGCGGGGGGAGGAGGAGGAGGTGGAGGAGGAAGAGGGAGACGAGGAGGGTGGGCTTTTAGGAGGAGTAGGAGTGGAGGAGGAGAGGGAGGAGGCGGTGGAGGAGGAGAGAGGAGGTGGAGGAGGAGAGAGGAGGAGGAGGAGGAGGAAGTGGAGGAGGAGGAGGAGGTTGGAGGAGGAGGAGGAGGAGGAGGAGGAGGAGGGAGGAGGTGGAGGGGAGGAGGTTGGAGGAGGAGGAGGAGGAGGGAGGAAGTGGAGGAGGAGGAGGAGGAGGAGGCGGTGGAGGAGGAGGAGGAGGAGGAGGAGGAGGAGGAGGAGGAGGAGGAGTTGTTGTTCCCGTCGTACTTGAGGACCACATCCCAGGGATCATTTCGAGCACCCCGAGGAGCCTTGAGACGGGGGTCAATGCAAACGGGGGTCAGCCAGAGCGCCCCGATCTTGCAGGATACTGCAGGGCGAGGGTCGCATTGACCCGGGTCTGGGTGCAGGATCCTGCAGGATTTTGCAGGATCCTGCGCACTGACCCGGGCTTGGGTGCAGGATCGCGCAGGATCTTGCAGGATTCTGCAAGTCTTGGCTGACCCGGGTCTGGATTGACCTGGGTCAGAAGATCCCCGAACCACGGCCCAGACTTCTGTTGTTGCCGTCGTACTCAAGGACCACATCCCAGAAATAATTTCGAGCACCCAGAAAAGTATCGAAGAAGTGTCGAGCGAGTATCGCCTCCCAGGGCCCGACACGTGAAAACCCTCCAGTTGTGGTACTTTCCTGGTGCTTGAAATTATTTCTGGTGGTCAAGGCTAGAGTAGGATGGAATGGAACATCATAAGCCCAGACATGATCGTGTCGCGGAAAACGAATCCGGACGGGAGGTTTTTGGCTACTTTCAGCCCCAGGGTGTCCTCGCTGGGCCGCAAAAGGACTCAGGACGAGTAACCGGTCCCGGGGAAAGGGTCGGGGCTTCCAGGGACGCCGTCCTGAAACAATCAGGACGTCGCATGCGGGGGGGGCGACGAGCAGCTGCAGGCGATGAAGCAGTGGCGATATAGAAAAAAAGCGGACGGGAGGTTTTCTCAAGGGCTTAACAAAACGCCCCTACCCTGGTTTACGAGGCGCTGTGCGCTGAAACTCCTGTGGGCTGACAGGGCAAACCCTGTGTGATGTGCCGCGTCCTGGCGGCTCTAGGCTTTGGGGGTTGCCAGGAGGTTTACAGACCACGCACTTGTAACCCAGGGTAGGGTTGTTTTCTCATCCCTCAATTTTCGGCTATTTCAGCCACGGGGGGCCCTCGCTGGGCCTCGGGGCCGTCAAAAAAGGATTCAGGACGAGAACTGGTTTCAGGGAAGGGGTCGGGGCCTCCAGGGACGCCGTCCTGAACAAAAGTCAGGACGTTGCCTGTCGGGGCGGGCGACGAGCAGCGCCATGCCCAGACGCCCCCGCGGGCCGGGAAGAATCGCAGCGGCAGGGGCTCCGCTGTTCTGGGGCCTCTGGGGGGGCCCTTCTTGGATACTCCAGATTTCGTAATAAAAGGGAGGGGGTCTGGACCCTCCAAGACAAGCCATTTCAGACCCCCCCGTGGGAGAACCCTCCAAAACACCGTCCCCAGACCCCCCCAGGCCCTCCAAGATAGCCTGGAAGAGACCCCCCCCGAAATGAGACCCCCCTCCCTTTATTACGAAATCTGGAGTACCGGCTCGCGGGACCGTCGAGCAAGGACGCAGGAGGAGAGACGAGTCCCCGGGGAGCGGGTCGACACGTTTGGGGGTCGATGCGTCATGACAGAACTCATGACGTCGGGTTTTCGCTGTTGTCGGCCTTCTGGGGGACCCCGGATACCCGGATACCAGCCCTCGAGACCATAGAAAGACGACTCAGGAGGGGAAGCCGGTAACGAGAAACGGGTCGAGACTTCTGGGGGTCGACGCCACGAAGAAGTCATGACGTCGGGGGGTCGGGAGTTTTATGGGTCGGCGTCGTGAACAAATAATGGGACTTCTGGGGGTCGAGACTTCTGGGGGTCGACGTCGTGACAAAATCATGACGTCGAGCGGGTCCTGAGGGAAACGGGTCCTGCCATTCTCTGCCGTTCTTGGGTTCCCGGGGCCCTCCACGTGCCCTGGGAGCATCAGCCAAACTGCTCAGTCTGAAGTCGAATAATATCATCTCCATAAACATAAGCTCTTGGCGCTCCGACAGTTTATGTTAGTGTCGTGTTTTGTTTTCGTTGTTTTTTTGTTTTTTTGTTTTTTGTTAGTCTATGAACCGCTGCTCCTGGGGAAGGCCCGGGGGCTGCGAGGACCCCGTGTCCCGTCGGGCCAAAAATCACGGGCGACGAGCATGTCTGTTGGGCCTGTTTTCCACCACCACCACCACAAATTGGAGGGAGGGAGGAGGTGGAGGACCAGGAGGATGAAAAAGAGGAGGAGGAGGAGGACCCCCTTCCCCTCCTACATATGGTGACTCGGGAGAGGAAGAGGTACCCATACTCATGGGCCTGTTTTCCACCACTTCCAGCATAGGTTGGAGGTGGGAAGGAGGCGGAGGATGAGGAGGAGGGGCGAAGAGGAGGAGGAGGAGGAGGAGGAGGAGGTGGAGGAGGAGGGAGGAGGAGGAGGAGGAGGAGGAGGACGACGAAGAGGAGGAGGAGGAGGAAGAAGAGGAGGAGGACCCCCTTCCCCTCCCACGTTTGGTGGTGGTGGTGGTGGAAGGCAAGCCCACCACTGTCCACACATCCTCCCGCGACCTCACGGTGTCGTGGCGCCGAGGCGCCGAGACGCGATATCCCCCCCTGGATCTGTCCGGGGGCGCCCTGGCCCCGACCGAGAGTAGGGCAAGCGAAGCAATGTGGGCCACCAGAAAGGGGCACCCATTCGGACGTGCGGGGTCCCCCTCACTGACTTCTGCTTCTTCTCTTCTTCTTCTTCTTCTTCTTCTTCTCCTCCTTCTTCTTCTTCTTCTTCTTCTTCGCCTCCTCCTTCTATGAAAGGCTGCTCCTGGGGAAGGCCCGGGGGCTTCGAGGGCCCCGCGTCCCACAGGGCCAAAAGTCACGGGCGTCGATCCCGTCCACACGCGCCTCCCCGCGACCTCGCGGTCTCGAGGCACCGAGGCGCCGGGGCGGGATATCCCACAGGGGGTGCGCGAGCTGCCACGGGCACGTGCGCTCCGCGCGGGGCACGTCCGCGCGAGGTGCCGCCCCCTGTGGTCCACCCCGGGGGCCGCGGCCGAGGCTTCGTGTGGACGGCGAGGCGGCGGGTGCATTAGACCCTCATGGAGCTATGAGTTTTGCTGTTTCTCTCCCTCTGTTCGGCCTCTGGGGGCCCTTGCCGGCCCCCTAAGGCCGTCGGAACACGACGCGGGACGAAGAGCCGCTCCCGGGGAAGGGGTGTCCAGAACCGCTGGGCACGCTCGCTTGGCGACAAACGTCCGGACGGGAGGTTTTTTTTGTTTTTGCCGTTTTCGGCCTTTGGGGGGGCCCTCGCTGGGCTCCGGGGCCGTCAAAAAACGCCCCAGGATGAAAAACCATGCTCGCGTCGTGTCAAAAATCCGGACGGGAGGTTTGTGGCCGTTTTCGGCCTCGGGGGGGGGGGGGGGCTCGCTGGGCCTCGGGAAAGCGACCCAGGATGAAGAACCGCTCCTCGGGAAAGGGTCGGGACTTCCAGGGACCGCAATCATTGAAGAAATCGGGACGTCGCATGTCCGGGTTCTGTGCCCTGCCCGCGAAGGTAGGCAGTGGCAGCGGGCGCTGTCGCTCCTGAGCGACATGGTCGCCGCGAGGCTGGAACCCGACGCCACCGTCCGCTGCAACGCCGGGATGAGCGCGTGCGAGAAGGGCGGGCAGTGGGAGCGAGCCCTGGCGCTGCTCCGCGAGATGCGGGGGGCGAAGTTGGAGCCAGACGTTGGTCTACATTTCGAGTAGAGGGTCGACTACGGAATGGATGTGCCCCACTTGTTGTCTGTCGAACCCGTGAACACAGACGTATCCATGTTCGTAGACCTACGAACATTCTACGTACTTCTTCGTAGACCCGAGGAACAATCAATTCTGCTGCAAGCGAATTTTGTAATTGATCCCAGATTCGAATAGTGCCAGGATCAGCCCGTGCGAGACGTGTCAGCAGTACAGGCGGTCCAGATCGACCCTGGCAGCCCGGAGGGCGCCCACCAGACCCCCTCGATACCCCAAGCGGCTCCCAAGACGTCCCCAGGGCGGCCCCAAGGCGGCCCCCCGAGTCCGCCCCCCGAGAACGCCCCCCGGTCTCAGCTGGGTCCAAGAAGGCCCGAAGATGCATCCAGCGGCCAGCACGATTGTCCCCAGAGGTGCCCGAGAGGGTTTAGGCATATTGCAAGTTCTGTTTATTTGAGCCTGTTTGCCAGCGTGGACCCCGAAGAGTAAGTTTGCGCGCCGAGCATTTGCATGCTATGTGATGGGCTCAGTGTCATGCAAGTCATGTAGTGGGAGCTGCGTGGTGTAATCGATGTGGCGCGTGGAGGCTACGTCACGGAAGCAGTGGTTGAAGCCACGTGGTGGAAGCTGCGCAGCGTAGGCCATGTGGTGCAGTATACGTTGTGGAAGCTCGGTGGTGGAAGCAGTGTGATACAAGCATATGTGGTGTTGCACGAGGTGGCAGCAAGGTGGCCACCGGGCGGACACCTGGGAAAGTCGGCGACGGGCGGCAACGCGGGCGGCCACGCGGGTCAGCCGGCGCACGCAGCGGCCACGAGGCGGCCACTGGCGGCCGAGGGGCGCAAGCCAAGTGCGCATGCAGAAAGCACGCTCTGGGAAGCGCGCGCCTCATTCTGCCTCGATGAATTCTTATTCGGCTGAGACTGCGCAGAACCGCTTGGGGCCCCCACAGCGACACAACCACAGGGTATGTAATACGCTGGCCTGAGTGTGATATGCGGCGTTCGAGTGATGCCGGCGCCCCGCCGCCACCGCCCAGCCCCGCGCAGGGCGGTCCCCCTGGGACGACATGGGCGCAGCCTCAGCTTCAGCTTGAGGCTCCCAAGAATGGCTACAAGAGGGACCCAGATATGATCCAGGCGGCCCATAAGACAGCCCAACAAGCCCCGCAAACGATCGCCGAAGAGGGCCCCAGGCGCGCCCCGTTGAGCCCAAATACGCCCCAGCACGATACACACCCAGAGGGCCCCAACACGACAATCAATCCCCACTCTTGTATGCGAATCAGTTTCGTCCATGGTTCCGCTTCAGTATATCCATCATAATCCGGGGGACGCGCGTGCCAGAAGGAACTCGCCCGACGTGTTTGAACATCGGCCCAGCAGGCCCCAGCATGCACGTTCCAACGCGGCCCAAGTGGGCCCCCAGAGGGCGGGGGCGATCAATGGGGAGGCAACGAGGGCTGCCGAAAAGGAGCCCTTTAGGGCCCCTGGAGGGGCCCTAAGAGGGCCCAGAAGGGGGCCTTTAGGGTCCGAGAGGGGCACCATTCCCCCCTCCCCCCCCCCCACCACGCAGCCCGCGATCTGGCAGGGAAGCGCCAGAGAGCTTGGGAGCGACTGGGAGCGCTTGGGAGCGCTGGGGAGCGCCGTGGAGCGCCGTGGAGCGCCGGGGAGCGCCTGGGAGCGCTTGGGAGCGCTGGGGAGCGCTGGGGAGCGCCGGCGTCTGGGAGCGCTGGGGAGCGCCGGGGAGCGTCAGGGAGCGCCTGGGAGTGCCGGGGAGCGACTGGGAGCGTCTGAGAGGGCCTGGGAGCGCCTGGGAGCGTGCCGGGAGCGCCTGGGAGCGCGTGGGAGCGCCTGGGAGCGCCTGGGAGCGTGCCGGGAGCGCCTGGGAGCGCGCCTTCTTCCGGCGAGGGGGTGGTTTGCAGTGGGGGGCGCTGGCGGGCTGCAGGGGGCCCCGCCCCCCCCCGCCTCCGAGCGCCCAGGAGACGCCTCGCAGCGGAGGCCCCGGAGGGCGTGGGCTTCCGTGGCCGCCCCGGCGGCGGCCCCCCGTTGCGCCACCCCGGGGGCGCCCTGGCTGGGGACCCCTGAGATCCTGGCGCTGCCATCTTTTTAGGGGAACAAGAAGTGGCATAAACATAATAATGCCCAGGGACGTACCCAACCCTTTGGCAACAGGTGGCATTATCAACTGGCGTTTTCAAGATAGCTGAACATCCGCTGGACGTCCAAGAGGCCCACGAAAGCGACGACCGTTGCATTCTTGGCAATCGCCGCGCTTGAGGGTCAAGCGGTGTACTTCGCTCAACGAAGAATCAGCGCCCCGCGCTCTCGAGGGACAGCGTTGCGCACTGCGCTACAGGACAGCGCCGCGCGACCGATCAGCGAATTCCCATGGGCCTGTAGCTGTGGCTTGGGCCTGTAGCCGAAGCTTGGGACCCGACAGCTTTAGCTCGGGCCTGTAGCTGTAGCAGGAGAATCGTATTATGCTGTTTCGGTCGCACCTCATTCTCATGGGCCTGTAGCTGTGGTTTGGGCCTGTAGCCGAAGCTTGGGACCCGACAGCTTTACCTTGGGCCTGTAGCTGTAGCAGGAGAATAGTATTATGCTGTTTCGGTCGCACCCCATTCTCATGGGCCTGTAGCTGTGGCTTGGGCCTGTAGCCGAAGCTTGGGACCCGAAAGCTTTAGCTCGGGCCTGCAGCTGTAGCAGGAGAATAGTATTATGCTGTTTCGGTCGCACCCAAATCGCCCTGCTCACAGCAACTCCTTTGGACATCGTCGTTGGAAACCTGACCGACAAATCCCGATAGTCGGTGCTCTTCGCTAGAGTGGCTGTCTTGGGCCGTCTTGGGGCCTCGTCGGCAGTCTTCGGGCCCTCTGGGGAGCCTCTTGGGCCGTCTTGGGGCAGTATTGGGTGCCTCTTGAGCCGTCCTGTAGCTCCGGAAAGCCGAAAAGACGAGAAGGCCAACATCCTTCAAAAACCATAGTGAAAATCTTGGTTTTGGCCTCTTGGGGCCCTCCCATGAAGCCTTTTGGAGGCCTCTTGGAGCGTCTTGGAAGCCTCTTGGGCCGTCTGGGGCCCACCTTGAACGTCCTGGAGCGATCGTTCGGCGTCTCAGGAGCCCACGAAAGTGCCGGCAGTTGCGCAGTTGGCAGCTCCCCCCGCAGGGAGCCGCGAGGTCCCGACGCGATCCGCGTGTAACCCCACTCCGCTGGGCCTCCCAGGAGCCCACGAAAGTGCCGACAGTTGCGCAGTTGGCAGCTCCCCCCGCAGGGAGCCGCGAGGTCTCGGCGCGATCCTCGTGTAACCCCCATTCCGCTGGGCCTCCCAGGAACCCACGAAAGTGCGGACAGTTGCGCATTTGGCAGCTCCCCCCGCAGAGAGCCGCGAGGTCCCGACGCGATCCGCGTGTAACCCCACTCCGCTGGGCCTCCCAGGAGCCCACGAAAGTGCCGACAGTTGCGCAGTTGGCAGCTCCCCCCGCAGGGAGCCGCGAGGTCCCGACGCGATCCGCGTGTAACCCCACTCCGCTGGGCCTCCCAGGAGCCCACGAAAGTGCCGACAGTTGCGCAGTTGGCAGCTCCCCCCGCAGGGAGCCGCGAGGTCCCGACGCGATCCGCGTGTAACCCCCACTCCGCTGGGCCTCGTGCCGACAGTTGCGCAGTTGGCAGCTCCCCCCCGCAGGGAGCCGCGAGGTCCCGACGCGATCCGCGTGTAACCCCACTCCGCTGGGCCTCCCAGGAGCCCACGAAAGTGCCGACAGTTGCGCAGTTGACAGCTCCCCCCGCAGGGAGCCGCGAGGTCCCGACGCGATCCGCGTGTAACCCCACTCCGCTGGGCCTCCCAGGAGCCCACGAAAGTGCCGACAGTTGCGCAGTTGGCAGCTCCCCCCGCAGGGAGCCGCGAGGTCCCGACGCGATCCGCGTGTAACCCCACTCCGCTGGGCCTCCCAGGAGCCCACGAAAGTGCCGACAGTTGCGCAGTTGGCAGCTCCCCCCGCAGGGAGCCGCGAGGTCCCGACGCGATCCGCGTGTAACCCCCACTCCGCTGGGCCTCCCAGGAGCCCACGAAAGTGCCGACAGTTGCGCAGTTGGCAGCTCCCCCCGCAGGGAGCCGCGAGGTCCCGACGCGATCCGCGTGTAACCCCCGCTCCGCTGGGCCTCCCAGGAGCCCACGAAAGTGCCGACAGTTGCGCAAGATCGCAGGAGGCGACAGATGCGCATATCGCAGCCCCCCAGAGGCGCCGCGAGGAGGAGGTAGGAGGCAGGAGGGAAGTGGGCGGGAGGACGGGGCGACCAGAGTGCTCTATTCAAAACGAGTACCCAACCAAGGGAGGGTTGGGAAAAACTCGGAGGTCCGCGCGGATTTCTCGGATCGGCGCTGGGGCCCCCCCGCGGCGCCTCCGGCGCCGCCCCTGGCGCGCACCGCGCGCCAGGGAGGGGAGTCCAGCGCAGATCCGGGAAATCCGTGCGGACCTCCGAGTTGTTATGTTTCTGCTACTTTTTGTCCCCCTGATTTTGCCACAACTCGCGTCCTCGCTCCACTTCGGGCCCCGGGACCCTCGCAGAGCGACCTGGCCCGAAAAGATGATCGACGCGGGAAGACAGGGTCTGGGAGGGAAGGGGGAGGAGGAGGAGGAGGAGGAGGAGGAGGAGGAGGTAGGAGGAGGAGGAGGAGGAGGAGGAGGAGGAGGAGCAGGAGGAGCAGGAGGAGCAGGAGGAGCAGGAGGAGGAGGAGGAGGAGGAGGACGAGGACGAGGACAAGGACGAGGACGAGGAGGTGGAGGAGGTGGAGGAGGTGGAGGAGGAGGAGGAGGAGGAGGAGGAGGAGGATGAGGAGCTCCAGGATTTTTAGAATGTTTGTTGCAATATTTGCCGTTTCCCGCTGCGTCGGATTTCGGGGAGAAGCCCTTTTTCGCCGCTCTTAGGGCCCTCGGTGTCCTCCGCGGGCCCCCCGGGACCGTCAGGAAGCGACTCGGGCCGAAGAGGTGGTCCTCGGGGAGGGCCCCGGGGTCCAGGACCCGCTTCCCTCGGGGCCTGCCTCCCTCACGCTGCCCAGACCCCCCGACGGCACAAACTCTTCCTGATGTGGGGCCCCCAGCGGTCTGGACCCGCTCTCCGGGACAGGCCTTTCGTCCAGGGTCGTTCCTGACGGCCCTGAGCTCGGCCGGTGAGGGCCCCCGGGGGCCGAACACCGCGAGCAAAAATCCCGTCACGATTTTTTTCATGACCCGAGGGGGTTTGTGCAAGGGGGGGGCCAAGTGTTCGGCCACCTGCGCGTCGAGGTCGTTGATGGAATCGTGTGCTCTTTGCTCCCCTACCTCGCTCCTCCCTCCTCGGTGCTGGCTCCTGGCTCCACGCTCCTCGCTCGGTGCCCATGGCTCATCGTTCCTCTCTCCGAGCTGCTTGCTCCTCCTCCTCCTCCTCCTCCTTCTTCTCCTCCTCCTCCTCCTCCTCCTCCTCCTCCTCCCCTCCTCCTCCCCCCCTCCTCCTCCTCCTCCTCCTCCTCCTCCTCCTCCCTCCTCCTCCTCCTCCTCCTTCCTCCTCCTCCTCCCTCCTCCTCCTCCTCCTCCTCCTCTCCTCCTCCTCCTCCTCCTCCTCCTCCTCCTCCTCCTCCCTCCTCCTCCTCCTCTCTCTCCCTCCTCCTCCTCTCTCCTCCTCCTCCTCCTCCTCTCCCTCCTCCTACTCCTCCTCCTCCCCCTCCCATCTCTCCTCTTTGCGCCCCGCTCCTTCCGCCTGGCCCCTGGCGCACTCCGCACCAGCAGGGGCCCCACACGTCCTCGGAAGGGCCCGACGCGCCTCGAAGTCTGCCCCCAGACAGGATGGCTCCAAGGCGGCCCCAAGGCGGCCAAGAAGCATTCCAACTATTCCCAGGGCAGCGGACTCCACGCGCTGGATGTCGTGGGCGTGTGTCCATGGGTCTGCGCCAGTCAGCTACAGTGCCGGGATCAGCGCCTGCGAGAAAAGCGAGCAGTGGCAGCGGGCCTTGGTGCTGCTCAGCGAGATGCCAATAGTGGTGTTGGAGCCCGACGTGATCATTTACAACGCTGGGATTAGTGCATTCGAGAAAGGTGGCCAGTGGCAGCGGGCTCTGGCACTGCTCAGCGAGATGTCAACTGCGATTCTGGAGCCCGTCGTCATCACCTACAACGCTGGGATCAGCGCGTGTAAAAAAGGCGAGCAGTGGCAGCAGGCTCTGGCACTGCTGAGCCAGATGCCAGAAGCCAGGTTGAAGCCCAACGTCATCAGCTACAGTGCTGGGGTAAGCGCGTGCGAGAAAGGCGAGCAGTGGCAGCGGGCCCTGTCGCTGCTCAGCGAGATGTCCTCGTCGAAGTTGAAGCCCAACGTCATCAGCTACAGCGCTGGGATTAGCGTGTGCGGAAAATGCGGGCATTGGCAGCAGGCTCTGCGATTGCTCAGCCAACTCTTAGAGGCCAAGCTGGGTCTCGACGCCATTGTCTGCGGTGCTGGGATCACCGCGTGCGAGAAGGGCGAACAGTGGCATCAAGCCCTGTCGCTGCTCGGCGAGATGTGGAATGCGAACTTGAAGCCCGACCTCATCTGTATTACAACCGGCACACCACAGAAGACACTGGCGTGTCAGTGGGTGCCCCACGATGACCTGGTGCCTCGCGATCTGGGGCCGCAGAGCCCTGGTGCACTTTGCGGGAGCTCAGAATCGAGGAATGACGTGCCCTCAGATTTCGTAGGTTAGGTGTTCGACCATGGTTTCGAGCCGCCAAGCTTTCGAGCCGAAGACCGCTGAGGAGCGTCGGACGCCGACGAACAACCGCCGAAGACCGTCGGAAGTCCGCCAGAAGGCCGCCGAAGACCGGCAGGAGACCGCGGAAGACCGCCGACGACCGCCGGAGACCGCCCAGGGGCCGTTGGGTCACAAGGGGTCCCTCGTCGAACACGTAACTTGTAGCAAGATCTCTGACGGTAGGGGCGTTCGTTCAGGAGTGTGCAGTACCCAGGAGGCTGCGGACCCTGGAGGATCCCTTGTCTGACGAGGGCGGCGGTGATGCCCACGGCCAAGCCTCCACGGCTGGCCCACCGGCTTCCAGGCCCTGGACTCCTCGCCCAGGGGTGCTTACATCCAGTGCCCTCACCGTGCAGTTCCGTCTCCACCGCCCATGGCGGCTGTGATGGGACATTGCGGGGCAGGCCCGCATGCATTTTTTTTTTTTTGTTTCTCTCTCTCTCTCTCTTTCTGAATTCCAGTTGCTTTGCACGTGTGTCGTCAAAAAAAAGTGCCCTCACCGTGCCCGTGTGTGCGTTCGGCACGCTGGCGGAGGCCGTGCGTCGGAGGGGGGGCACCGGGGCCCCGCCGGGGCAGCTCCGCCCGCTCCACGGCGCCGGCCTGGACCCAGGTGCTCTCCGGGGCCCGCCCTGGATGGATTCGGGCCCTGGGACCTCCCCAGGAACCCCAGCGGGCCCAAGAAGCATCCACCGCGACACAGAGCTGGCCCTGAGGAGGTCCCTCGAGGGGGCCCCCGCGGGCCCCGGGGAGCTCCCCGGCCGGCCCGAAGGCGGCCCCCGAGTGAGCCGGCGGGCGGCCCGAGATGGTCTCCCGGAGGGCCCACAGGCGGTCCGCAGAGCCACACGTCGGCCCCCTGGAGCTTGTTTTTTTTTTTGATTCGGGCAAGTTTACTTGCATGGCGTTCGCCCCCCCCCCCCCCCCCCTCGCCCCTCTTCAAGCGAATACTAGCGTGCAAGTGCCTTTCGACTTGCGTGATTTCCGCGCCCCCCCGAACGTCCAAGTCGTTTGCGGCTTGCTTCAGGCTCAGCCCCCCCCCCCCGTCCATGCAAGTAAACTTGCCAGAGTCTAAAAAAAACAGGCTCAGAGCCACACGTCGGCCCCCTGGACGGCAAGGGCGGCCCCGGACGGCCCCGTGTTGTCCAAAGGCGGCCGCGGAGAGCCTCGACGTGCCCATGGCACGGCCCAGCCCTGCTGCAGCACGGCCCCCTCCAGAGCCCTCCGCAGGGCGGCGGGCACCCGCCCGCAGGCAGTTGCCAGCCGCAGCAGTCGAGCAGCGGGTAGGTAGCCTGAACATGCAGAACCTACAGTTGCCTGGAGCCTTTTTTTTGATTCAGGCAAGTTTACTTGCATGGCGTTCGCCCCCCCCCCCCCCCCCCCCCCCCTCGCCCCTCTTCAAGCGAATACTAGCGTGCAAGTGCCTTTCGACTTGCGTGATTTCCGCGCCCCCCCGAACGTGCAAGTCGTTTGCGGCTTGCTTCAGGCTCAGCCCCCCCCCGTCCATGCAAGTAAACTTGCCAGAGTCTAAAAAAAAAACAGGCTCCTGGACACGCCCGTGTTGCAACGCAGCGCGTCCCGTGTTCAAGACGTCCGTGTCAATGCGTGGCGTGTTGGCTCCGCGTATCGGCCCACGTTTTGGCGAACGTATCGCGTCGGACCTACTGTACGTTTTCAGTTCACGTGTCGAACTCCGTATCAAGACGCTACGTGTTGCCTGTTGCGTATCGGGGCAGCTCAGTGCAGAACTGGCAAGGAGCAGCATCCTGGAGCAGTAAGAAGAGACGGCAAGTCGCAGCAAGCAGCAGCTCGCATTGACAGTAACAACACTAAGCAGCAGTAGCCACCAACGCAAAAATGCATAACCAAACCGCAGCAAGCAGCACAGACCAGCAATCAGCAGACAAGAGCAATCATGAGCAGCAAACGGCAGCAGGCAGCAGCAGGCAACACCATGCAACATCGACAGGAAGTAGGTGGCAGCGAGCGGATAGGCAAGCAATTAAGCAACTAAGCAGGCACACCATGTACATGGTATTACACTTTCAGGTGTGAGCTTATCTATGTCTAGATCAGGCAACCAGGCCAACATGACAAAACAAGAGAGCATAGCAGCCACACAGGCGGGACAGTACCGAAACAGGCACGCGTAATCAGCCCTGCATGCGGGTAAGACTTAGTGAGCGCATGTCCATGGGCCAGCCCTAGTCAGCTACAGTGCTGGGATCAGCGCGTGTGCGAAGGGTGCCCAGTGGAAGCAGGCTCTCTCACTGCTCACCGAGGCGTGCGAGGCGAGGTTGGAGCCCAATGTCATGGTAACCCTAGATACCACAGCACTGTCATCGGCCTGTGGGGTAGGGCCCCGTTTCGCTCGTGCTGGAGGTCTCGACGATCCCAGGGCCTCCAGGATGGGCCCTGCAGGGCTGCAGGCTGGCGGAGACAGCCTCCAGGACGTGCCGGGACGTCCCGAGACAGCCCACGCGTGCGCCAACCCTGGCTCGCGAGCAGGCTCCAAGATCTCTGGCTCGCCGCGCAAGGCCCCGAAGCGAGAAGCTAGTAGAGCACACACACTTTCGGGGGCACCCTCGAGATTGGTGATGACTAGGGGGGGGGTGTATGTCATGGCCGGCGGCCATGGAACCTCTCAAGATTTCATGGTGCCTCTTCTTGTCTTGATGCGTCCCCGGCCCGCCCCCCTGGGCAGCGCACATGCCGCCGGCCATTAGCTGCGCCCCCCCTCTTGGACGCTCCCTCTTAGACGCCCCCGATACTTGTTGTCGATGCGATGGTTCGCCTCTGACCTCTTCTCTCTTGCCTTCCTGCCTCGCCCGAGTCTGGGGCTTTTGGCAGCGTTTGCCCGCAGTGCCCTGCATACGGCTGCGACCGTTTATTGACTGCGGCGTCTTGGCGTCGAGTGCCCTCTGTCCTCCCTCCCGCTCCCTTTTGCGCTGGTGGTTTTTTACCACTTGCTTTCGCCGAGGTTTTGAGCAGCGTCACTTGTGGCAGCCGTCTTTTGGCAACCACGCTGCCTGGTATCCCCCCTCCTCGTCCCCGTCGTCTTTCCTGTTCGTTCTGACCGAGTCTCACCGTTCCAGTGGCAAGGCGAGGTGCTTCGTAGTGCCAGCTGATGTGTCGACTGCTTCGTTGTCTGCGAGGGGGCGAAACTATTGTTTGATGATTGCTCAGCCTGTCCACTTACTCGGCTCCAGGCAGGCTCCAGGATGAGCCCGCAGGCTCCTTACAGCCTCCGAGGCCCACAAGTCCGTCCTCCGGAGGGCCCAAGCAGCGCCCACGGCAGCCTGAGATGACCCCCCTCGCCCCCACAAGACGGGCCCCACACGGCCCCACGACGACCTCGGATGGCCCCACGAGATTTTTCCTCCCAAGATGATGGCCCCAGGGCCCCCAAGGGAGCGATGCGCCAGGGCCAGGGGGGTCCCAAGAGGCGGGCCCAAAACCCCGAGCAAGTCCCGCGAGTTCCCGGGTGGCCCAACGATATTTCAAGTTGGCCCCGAGTTGCCTGGTGAGTCCCGGGAGGCGGCAGATCCATGCTGCTCGGAGATCCTGACAGCAGCAGATGCCAGGATAGGCAATTCTCGCAAGCAGCAGCAAGCAGAACCCGCAAGCAGCAGCGCGAACCCTCCACAGCAAGGGGCAGCGGGAAGCATCGGCCAGCAACGTCAGCATGCGAGAGGAGCAAGCGGCAGCATGTAGCAGACACGGCCAGCATGCCGCACCAAGCAGCGGACATCAGCACCAAGCAGCCACGACGCCCCGAGCTGGTGCAAGACGACCCCCAAGCGGCTTCAAGATCGCCGCGTGTGGGGTCCCCACGATGGCCCAGCCAGGCCGCAAGAGCGCCCAAGACGCCCCTGAGATAATGCAAGATGGCCCTGGCTGACCCCAAAGACGACCCTAGAACGGCCTCCACGACAGCTCAAGGTCGCCCAAAGATAGCCTCCAAGACCCTCTCTCCCGACGGCCCTCGGAGCCCCGAAAAGGCCCCCACGAGGTCACTGATCTCCAAGGAGATTGCCCCGAGGGCCCCCAAAGCCCAGGAGAACCCAAGCCTCCGAGACAGCCCCAAGCGGGTACCAAGACAGGGCGAGCCAGCGATCACAGCATGGAAGCAACAGAGCCAGCCGCAGGGCCAGCAGCAGCAGCAGCAGCAGCAGCAGCAGCAGCAGCCTGGAGAGGTACGAACCAGCAACAAGCAGCACCACGCCCCAGAAAACCCCAAGGCTGCACCACGGGTCCCCAAGGGGGCATCAATAATGGACCAGCCAGCGAACGCAGCAGGCAATCATCAGAGCCAGCAGCAACAAAGCTAGCATCAGTCGGGCAGATGTTTGAAAGCAAGCAGCAGCAGAAAAGCAACCATCAGCAGCCAGTAGCAGCTTCTTGCAAAGTCGAATTGCCCACGGGTAGTTACACACTGGTCAGCTACAGCGCGGGTATCAGCGCGTGCGAGAAGGGCAGCCAGTGGCAGCAGGCTCTTTCGCTACTCAACGAGATGTGCGAGGCGAAACTGGCGCCCGACGTTATCGTCTACAACGCTGGGATCAGCGCGTGCGAGAAATGCGAGCAGTGGCAGCGGGCTCTGGCGCTTCTCGGCCAGATGCGGGAGGCGCGGTTGGAGCCCAGCGTTGTCAGCTACAGCGCGGGGATCAGCTCCTGCGAGAAGGGTGGGCAGTGGCAGCGGGCGCTGACGCTGCTCGGCGAGATGTGGGAGGTGAAGTTGGAGCACAGCGTCACTCAATCCCACCCGCCCGCCCGCCCGCCCCGCCCCGCCGGCCCTGGCCTCCCGCAGGCGCGTTTTGCCCTCGTCTGCTTGCTTCTCGCTCCCTCTTTGCCCCCTCTCCGCCCCCGCGCAGCACGGGCTCCTGGGAGCCGGCGGCGCCCAGACCGGGACAGGACTTCCCTCGCTCATGTCAGAGGCGACGACAGGGGCGAATATAGCCCAGTGGAGAGCAATACATGTATTCAGGTGCGCCGATGATCTATGTCTTCGACAAGGCTCCCAGGCGAATGCGTGTAATGCCCGCCCCTCGGCTATTCGCCCCTATCGTCACCCCCGAGCTTAGATGGGTGGCCATTGGTCATGGCGTCGCTCAGTAAGCAGAGGCTGGCCTGAAATCTCCAGGCCGCGGCCTGCTGGCGAAGGCCTCCTCCAGGGCCTGCGCTGGCCTCGCCGCTCGCGCCCCTGCCCTCCGAGGCCGCCCGCGCGCGCTCGCCGGGCCTGCGTGGACCAAAGAGGAGGGCGAGCACGGCTGCATCGAGAGGTCAGGGGCAGGAGCGAGGGCCCCCCCGATCTGCGAGCCCGCCCCATAGCTCCGGCCCACGACCGCCGCAGCACCGGGCCAAGACCGGCCCAAGATTTGGGATGCTCCAACCCGCCTCAGCCTTGAGCACCAGAAAGACTTCCGAGCACCAGGAGAGTACCGAAGCCGGAGGCTTCTCACGCGTCGGGCCCCGGGAGACGGTACTTGCTCGTCCGACACCGCTTCGATGCTTTTTCTTCTGGGTGCTCGAGGTCCTTCCTGGGATGTGGCCCTCAAGTGCGATGGGAACGAAACGTGGCCCGAGAGGGCCTCCAGAAGACAGTTTGCCGGCCAGCCCCGAGGCCTCCGAAGAGGCGCCGGGGCCGAGGCCACCTATCAGGAGGGAACAAGAACACGAAGACACAATTCATTGTCGACTCCCGAGAAAATATGGGAAAATATGGGAAGTGGGGGGGACGACAGAAACCCCGAAACAATTAGAAAATATGGGGAATCCTTCTATTTGTGTGTATTTATTTGTGTGTCCCAGGGCCCCTTCAACCTGGGCGGGCCCCCGCGAGACCCCAGGGCGGCGCGCCGCCGGCACGTGCACCCGCGGGAGCTCCGCAGCTTCTGGGGCCTCCCGCGGTGGAGGCCCGTGCCCGGAGGGCTCCAAAAGGATTTTTGTTTGTCGGGGGCGGCAAAAAGGGGGAGGGGATGACCAGGGGGGGTGGATGTCCGCCGCCCCCTGTCGATTCATCAAAGGGGTGCCTGGCGTGCTGAACCCTCTCGGTTCTGGTTCTTTTTCCCAAAGGAGCTCCCCCTGGGGCTCCAAAGGTTTTTTTTGGTCGGGGGCGGCAAAGAGGGGGGTGATGACTAGGGGGGGGGGGGATGGATATCATGGCGGGAGCCATGATTTTTCCACAGATTTCATGGCGCCTCTTCTTGTTTTAGTGCGTCCCTGGCCCCCCCCCCTTGGCCGCGCACATGCCGCCGGCCATGATTTGCACCCCCCCCTCTTGGACGCCCCCCTCTTTGCCGCCCACGATTTTGGGGAGGGGGTTTTCCAAAGCCCCCCAGGGGCCTCGGAACCTCGTCAAAACAGGAGATGCGAAGCCCCTGGGGGCCCCTCCTGGAAGACCCCCTGCCCAAAACCCACCTCTGGAGCCCTCTGGTACGCCAGAAGCACACTGCTGGCCTCCAGGGTGCCCTGGGTTTCTTGTGGGTTTCGAGTCTTCGCTGTGGAGGGCGTGCCGTTCCCACACCCCAAAATCAATGGACGTCCTTGGGTCTCAGGGTTGGGTGTCTCGTGGAAGGTCTCCTGTGGACTGGCCTCCGCTGCAGATGGGGGGTCGGCGGCTCGCGCCCCATGGCCGATGCATCGCCGATGCGTCGCCGACCTCGGCGATGCGTCGCCGGTGCATCGCCGATGCGTCGCCGGTGCATCGCCGGTGCATCGCCAATGCATCGCCGATGCATGGCCGATGCATCGGCGATCTGGCGCGGTCCTCCGACCCCATCTGCTCGGACCCCATCTGGGAGGCATCTGACAGCAAGTTCCCGGGAGGCCCTGAGTCGGACAGGGCCGGGACGAGGATGAGTCCGTGCCGGAGCGTCCCGGGACGCTCTCAGAGCCTTCCGGAACGCTCTGAGAAGGCCGCGGTGCCCGAGACATCTTCCAGAGCCACGGGATCTCGAAGATTCTCGGTTTATCCTCACACGGCTTTAAATCCTCGTCCTGGCTGCGTCCTGTGGAGGAGACTCGCAGACGGGCTCCAGAGAGAGACGGTAAGCATTGGATTGATCATATGTGCGCGGGACTGGACTGTCGACGTCGGCGGCGCGCGGAGAGGCGACGGTGGGGAGAGCTCGAGGCCTTTCGGCCCCCTCACATACGATCCCCAACCCGAGCGACATCGGCTGGCGCGTCCCCACCCAGGCGTCGACCCCAGCGTGCCACCGACGACGGAGCAGCTGCCGCCGCACGGTTTCGTTCGTCGGTGTTTACGGCGGCCTCTGCGCGGAACGCTTTCACGCCTGAGCGCTATCCCCTCCAACTCCCTCCGCGCGGCCGCCCTCGTCTTTCTCCTCTTTCCTGCGCGCCGGTCCATTCTCCTCCCATTTGCCCCAAATAGCCACACGCTTGAGTGGTCTGCCTCTGCCTCGCCGCCGACGAAAAAGTTGACGGCGGCCTCGTTGCTGTCCAGGGACGTGCCCAGGTGGGCCCACGAGGGGGTGGAGCGTTTCTCGAAGGGCTTAGGCGACCCCTCCTCCTCCATTTCTTTTCCGTATAGATAACTCCTCCCCGTCGCACCCCGAGGCCAGTTTTTCGGGCGGGCCGGGCGTTTCGCCTGAGAAATCCTCACCATTTATGCTTCTGCAGCTTTCAAAGTGACAACAGCTTCACAGATGGAGAACGGGTGGTTCTCAAAATGTTGCTCTCGCCTTAGCGCCGCGCACAATTGTTTAAACATGTGCAGCAGTTTCACAGATGAAGGGCGGGTGGTTTTCAAAATGTGGCTCTCGCTGTAGCGCCGCGCACATTTTTTCCAAAAACACATGCAACCGTCTCACAGTTTGAGGGCGGGTGGTTTTCAACGTGGCTCTCGTCTTGGCGCCGTGCACATCCGTGTTAAACATTTGCAACAGCTTCACAGATGGAGGGCGGGTGGTTTTCAAAATGAGGCTCTCGCCTCCAACGCTGCGCACATTCTTTGTAAACATTTGCAACAGCTTCACAGATGGAGGGCGGGTGGTTTTCAATATGTGGATCCCGCTTTAGCGCCGCGCACATTCCTTTTAAAACTTCCCAAGAGTTTTACGGATTGAGGGCGGTTCCTTTCTAAAATGTGGTTCTCGCTTTAGCGCCGCGCGCATTCGTTTTCAAAGTTCAGAAGATTTTCACGGATTCCTATGATCAACGTACCAGAAGTGGTGTTTTGGAGGGATTCAGGATTATGCGTGCGCAGCAGTTATGTTGATTCGCTGTGTTGAAGTCCCACACATGGCGTTCTGGCACGACTCTGCATCGTCAATATCAGTGTTTTGGCCCGCTTCAGGATCTTCAAGCTGTTGTCTTCCTAAGGCAGTTCCGTCTATGGGAATGAACCCTTGTAGGGGCCTGTAAAGTGGGAGCTTGGAGAGAGGGTGAATTCCAACATCGTTGATGCCTCTTGGGTTTCCAGTCCTCCTCCTCCTCCTCCTCCTCCTCTTCCTGTTCCTCCTCCTCCTCCTCCTCCGCCTCATCCTTCTTCTTCTTCTTCTCCTCCTCCTCCTCCTCCTCCTCCTCCTCCTCCTCCTCCTCCTCCCCGCCCTCCTCCTCCTCCTCCTCCTCCTCTCCTCCTCCTCCTCCTCATCCTCCTCATCCTCCTCCTCCTCCTCCTCCTCCTCCTCCTCCTCATCCTCCTCATCCTCCTCCCTCCCCCTCCTCCCTCTCCCTCTCCTCCTCCTCCTCTCGTCCTCCTCCTCTCCTCCTCCTCCCCATCCTCCTCTCTCTCCTCTCCTCCTCCTCCTTCCTCCTTCCTCTCCTCCTCCTCTCCTCCTTCTCTCTCTCCCTCCCCCTCTCCCCTCTCCCTCCTCTCCTCTCTCCTTCCTCCTCCTCCTCTCCTCCTCTCCTCTTCTTCCCCCCCCTCACCTCCTCCTCCTCCTCCTCCTCTTCCTCCTCTCTTTTCCTTCACCTCTTCTCCTCTCCTTCCTCCTCTTTCCTTCTCCTCTCCTCCTCCTCCTCCTCCTCTCGTCTTCCTCCCGCCTCCTCCTCGCCTCCCCCTGCTCCTCCTCCCTCCTCCTCTCCTCCTTCCCTCTCTCTCTCCTCCTCCTTCTCCCCCTCCTCGCCCCTCCTCCTTCCATCCCCCTCCTCCTCCTCCTCCGCCTCTCCTTTCTCCTCCTCCCTCCTCCTCCTCTCCTCTCCTCCTCTCTCCTCCCCCTCCTCCTCCTCCTCCTCCTCCTCCTCCTTTCCTCCTTCCCTCTCTCTCCCTCTCCTCTCTCCTCCTCCTCCTCCTCCTCCTCTCTGTCTCCCCCTCCTCGCCCTCCTCATCCTCTCCTCCCTCTGCTCTTCCTCCTCCTCCTCCCCTCTCTCCTCCTCCTCCTCATCCTCTCTCCTCCTCCTCCTCCTCACCCGCTCCTCATCCTCCTCCTCCTCCTCTCCTACTCGCCTCCTCCTCCGCATCCTCCTCCTCCTCTTTCTCCTCATCTTCCCCCTCTCCGCCTCCTCCCTCCCTCTTCCCCCTCCTTCCCCCTCTCATCCGCCTCATCTCCTCCTCATCCTCCTCCTGCTCCTTCCTCTCCTCCTCCTCCCTCCTCCTCCTCCTCCTCCTCCTCCTCCTCCTTCTCCTCCATCTCCTCCTCCCCCTCCTCGCCTCCTCTCGGGTCGCCTCGGGCCCCGGTGGAAACCGTGCACGCGGGGGCTCCAGGGTGGCTCCGAGCTCGCCTCGAAGCTGCGCCCCGGCGCGGCCCCAGGAGCGGGGGAGGCGCCGGGCCAGCCGATGCGGCGACCTGTCTGCTCCGATCAAGCAGTGGCGAAGCGTCCTGGCGTGCCTGTAGTCGAGGAGCCTTGTTTTGGTTCTTTTCTACAGGAGGAGTATTCGAAAATACCTACAAATAATACGGGAACGATTTTTCTAGTGTTCTTGAAAAGTTTGGAATATTTTTTAGTTTTTCGTCAAAAATCCGCCTGTAGGGGGACGCCCGACCTAAGCCATGGCCCTAGGATGGACCAGGGCGTGCCCGGGACGGCCCCATGAGGCCTTGCACCACGAAGGAGGACGAGATAACGAGGCCGCTGCCCGTCCCTCGTCGCCGCGCCCAGGTTCGCTTCGGGTCCTGGTCAGAGCGCGCCTCGGGAGCGGTCTGGGGCGTGGCGGGCGCCGCGGAGCCCCCCCTGCCTGGAGCCGAGTCCCGCTGTGCCCCAGGACGGGGCGGCAGTGCTCGCCAAGACGGCCCCAGACCCCGACGGGCAACAAACGGGCTCCCGAGAGTCCCCCCAAGAGACGCCCTGGAGGCCTCTGCGAGGCCGCACGGCCTGAACGTCATGGCTTCGGCTCCTCCGGCATCCTCGCCTGTGCTGCCCGGGTTGGGCCAAGACTGGCTGGTCTCCGAGGTTTGCGTCGTCTGCTCGCCGTGGATCCCTTCCACGGGACGCCCTACAGTCAGCCCGCATAGTAAGGATGAGCAACTTTCCAAGGTGATCCTTGCAGTTCGACCCATTCTTGGCCGCTTTCGCTGGCCGCGCCCCGCTCGCAACGTGTCGACATGGCCTTCCAGGGCCCTTGCGTCCTTGTCGTGCGTCCTTCTTCTACGGGCTGACTGCAGACAGCGTCTCTAAATGTGCCGGGCCCCATTGTGCGCGACACCGTTTTGTGCACCTGTTGGGCCCTCGTGCATCCCATGGGGGCTCCCCGGGGGCCCCCGGAGCAGCCGCAGGGCCTCGGGAGTCCCCGCTCCGGTGGCCCCACACACATCCCAGGACGCCCCACGACGCTCCACGACGCCTCCGAGAGGTCCCTGTTGACTTGGCATCGCTCGGACGTGTGCATTTTTCCTTTGGCGAGGACCATCGAGGAGCATCCCTGATCATTTGGCGAAAAAGCCACGCACGAAACCGAAAAAAACACAGGGAATGGACGTCCGAGCGATGGCGAGTTGAGGCCAGAGGCGAGGCCGCCCCAAGAGCTCTTGGGGCGCCCTCGTCTGGCCTCAACTTCTACACCAGAGCAGCCGCTTCTACACTTGTGCAGCCGCTTTCGGCTGCGACGCGTCGCCCCCTCCCCCCCCTTCGCCCCTTGCCACCCTGCCTAGGTAAGGGTAGGGGTGTCTTTCGCGATCGAGACTTAAGAGACGCCCCAAGCAGGACAAGCCACTGAGACCCATATTGCGCAGTCCTTACGGCCGGTGCCGCCGACCCTGAAGGGGAACGACGACAACGGCGGCGGCGGCGACGACGACGACGCTGACGCGGGTCAGAGTCCTCATGGATTCTTCTTGGTGTCTCTTCGGAGCGCTCTCGGGGGCCTCTGGGGGACAGTTTAGGGGCCTCTTGGTAGCCTCTTGGGGGCCTCTTGGAAGCCTCTTGGGGGCCTCTTGGGGCTCAGACCCATGTTTTTGCTCCACTAATATGGCTGCAGGGTTTCAGACTCCCCAGGCTCTTAGGCCGAGGGTGTCCTCCAGGACAGCTTCGCAGAGCTGCCGCCTGCCGCAGGAGGCGCCCGGGGCGGCCTCCCAACGGCCTCCCGAGGTTCCCCGGGGCGGCCTCTGGAGGCTTCCCCCGGGCGCGGGAGCCCGCGAGCACGGTCCAGGGAGGACCCCCGGAGGAGCCAAGATGCCCATACGACGCTCCACGAGGAGCATCCGAGAGGCCCCGGAAGAGCCGGAGGAGGCCCGAGTAGACTCCAGGAGGGGCACGAGAGACCGCGCGGCTCCGGGCCTTTTGGCTCGGCATGGCCCGGGGGCAGCTCCACGTGGCCTCCGCGTGCCCAGCGGTTACTCTTTTGTGGTGTTCAGCATCGTGTCTGATGCGTATTGCGAGGGCCTCTCCGGATCCTCTCGGGAGCCTAGTAGGAACCTCGCAGGATCCGCTCAGGACCCTCTCAGGACCCCCTCTGACGAGCCTCGCAGGACCCTCTCAGGAGCTTCGGAGCCTTTCGGTAGCTTTTCGGGACCCTCGCAGTAGCCCTTCAATGGCCTTCGAAGAGCCTCAAAAAGCCTCTCTCTCAACAGCGTCTGCAGAGCCTCTCATAATTTTCTCCCACGAGCTGCTCAGGAGCCTCTCAGGACCCTCACGGGAGCCCCGCAGGAGCCTCGCAGGACCCTCTCAGCATCCTGCTATTATGGTGCCATCCTGCTCTGCGCGCGCCCCACGATCCCCCAAATGGCGGCGGCCCCCAGATGGTGGCAAGAGCACTCGAAGCCGGGCCCAGAGGGCTCCAGGAACACCCAAGGATGGCCCAGGAATCTTCAAACGCTGCTCAAGAGGCCCCACGATGCTCTACGAGACGCCATAGATGCCCTATAAGAGGCCTCAACTGAAGTTCAAGAGACATCAAGACTTGTTTCATAACCAGGGACTTCTGTTTCACGCTTTTGGTCCGCATCGCTTACGTGTATCGCCCCAAGTTCAGGCGTGCCTGGCAGGCGTCCGGTTGTCCCAATCATGTTTTCATATTGCTTCATATCACCCCAAGAGGGCTTCACGGCACACGGATATTTCCCGGAATGCCCCAGCGAGGCCGCACGTGGGTGCAAAGCTGGCCCCAGCATCTTGCATTTCAGGGCCTCGTGGCGCCCCAAGGCAGCCCCAGACAGACGGAATACAGCCCCACAACGGCTCGAGAGAGCCCCAAGACGACCCCGCGTCCCACAGGCCGAGGCCCCCCCGCCCAGAAGTGCCCCCAGCGGGCTTCAGAGCGAGGGAGGGCTCCAAGAGAGCCCGAGGGCATCCGGCCAGACGGCCCCAAAGAGGTTCTCCGATGGCTTCGCGAGGCGTTCCAACAGCAGCAGCATCGGATGCGGAGCCAGCAGCAGCAGCAGCAGCCAGCATCAGCAAGTCTTGCAGCAGCGAGCGACAGTCGCAGCAAGCGGAGCCAATACGTCAGCTGCAACGCTAAATGGGTAAACCTTCTATCAAACATCAAACATATAAGACCACATATATCTATATGTGTATATATATATATAGATAGCAACTCATACGCAACATGTACGTCAGCTGCAACGCTGGGATCAGCGCGTGCGAGAAAGGCGAGCAGTGGCAGCAGGCTCTGTGGCTGCTCGGCGACATGCGGGAGGCGGTCCTGCAGCCTGACTTCATCAGCTACAGTGCTGGCATCGGGGTGTGCGACAGGAACGGGCGGTGGCAGCAGGCCCTGTCGCTGATCCGCGACATGTGGGAGGCGAAGTTGGAGCCCAACGTCGCCAGTTCTTCACGCAACACGCTGGACCGACCCATCGTGCAGAAGTTCCGCAGTTCCCTCTGCCCTCTAGGGCCCTCCCCTCCAGATGCCCCCAGGACGCAGCAACAAAACCACCCTGAACCGCACACACCTCACAGAAGCCTGGCTACCGTTGCAGTCCGTCGTGGGCGTGCGAGAGGCAGACGAGCTTCCACGAAGCCCCAGCATTGGGCCTCGCTCCCCCAAGACATCGCCGGTTGGCCCCAGGCCACTCCGACGACCCACGGCAGTCCGCGGGTCGCCCTCGTCCTCGTCCTCGTCGCCGCCGCCGTCACCGCCGCGATGCACCCTGGCAGCGCCACTCTGGGACGGTCCCGCGCACCCCTGACGGCCCCGCGACCCGCCAAGGGACGTGCGCAGGACCCCGACGGGGCCTCCCCGCGACCCTCCACGCCCTCCCCGGCAGCCTCCCGACCGAGGGGCTTCCGGGCAGCTCCCGGAGGCGGCCACGACAGGCAGGGTGCCCCAGAGAGGCCCCAGGCGGAGCCCGATGGAGAGCGAGAGAGCCCCGGAGATAGGTCCGGCCTTGACCCCGGCCGGCCCCGAGACGGCCGCCGTCGGACTCCTGGCGCGCGCCAGCGCGCTCTCTCGGAGCTTCGCCCGCCCGGCAGTTGTCCCCCGCCATTGTGTGTTGGGCCCTCGTTGTGAATCGGCAGCGCCCTGCGTCTCCTTTCTTCCTTCCTTGCTTCCTCCCTCCCTCCCTCCCTCCTCTTCCTCCTCCTTCTCCTCCTGCTCCTCCTTCTCCTTTTCCTCCTCCTCCTCCTCCTCCTCCTCCTCCTCCTCCTCCCCCTCCCCCTCCTCCTCCTCCTCCTCCTCCTCCTTCCCCTCCTCCTCCTCCTCCTCCTCCTCCTTCTCCTCCTCCTCCTCCGATCACATGCAAGTGTCCGCATGGCGCCACCGCACCCGTTTCCACACCCCTCACGCGTTTCGTGGCCCCAGCGGGAGCTCCCCCGCAGGCGCCAGTGGGAGGGTCCGCATGGCGCCCCCGCGCCCATTTCAACGCACCCCTCACGCGTTTCGTGCCCCCCCTCCGTCGTCCCACCTGCCTCGCGATGCTCGTAATTGCATGTGGCTGTGTGGAACGTGGCTTGCCTATTCCCAACCATCCTGTGGTGTTGGGTCCCCGTTTTGAAGCGACAGCGCCCCGCGTCACCTTCCCTCCCTCCCTCCCCTCGCCGCCTCCCATTCTTGCCCTCTGACCTCCTCACGTTTTATCTCGGAGCACCCCTCGCGTGCTTCGTGGCCCAATAGGGAGCTCCACCGAAGGCCCCAGTGGCAGTTTTCGCATGCGTCCCCCGCGCACATTTCGGCACACCCCTCACACGCTTCGTGGCTGCATCGTGAGCTCCATCGAGGGCCCCAGTGGCGGCTCCCGCATGCGCCCCCCGCACCCAGTACGGCATACCCCTCGCACGCTTTGTGGGCCCCATAGAGAGCTTATTCGAAGGCCCCAGTGGCGGTTCTCGCATGCGTCCTCCGCGCACAGTTCGGCACACACCTCACGCGTTTCGTGGCCCCATAGTGAGCTCCACCACAGGCCCCAGTGCGCCGCATACGTCCGCCGCACTCATTGCGGCATATCCCTTTTTACACGTTTATTGCCCCATAGGGAGGGAGCTCCACCGAATACCATATTACAAATGCATTACTCACAACTGCATATGGTTGGGTCCTTCGCCAGGCTCATTTTTTTTGTCGAGCCCCAGCGAAGGGCTCAGAGGTGCCGCCAAGGCGAGGCCCGATATTGCCGCCGAGACGACCTCCAGACGGCCCCCGCAGCGCCTCCAGAGCGCGATCCGATCGATTGGATTCGGCATCGATCCCGGCCTGCTCGATGCGTTCCGTTCCGATGCAGGCATTCCGACGATCCGATGCAGGCCCTATGCCTGCATGGCGCAGCCGCGCATCCTCGCGCGGCCGATCCGCGTTCCCGACCTCGACTTCCGCGCGCACGCGGCCCGATCCGACGCACACTCCGACTCTCCTGGCTCGCTCTCCCGATCCGATGCGGACCGTCGGCGGCGAGCCCTGGGGGGAAGTGAGCAGGGGCGGGCCTTCTCAGAAGGCCCGGGAGTCCCCGCAGGCCTTCCGAGAAGTTTGCTAAGCCTCCCTCGGAGGCGCAGAAAGCCTCTCGGAAGGCGCGAGGGCTTCTGAGAAGTCCCGCCGCCTTGTGTGATGGCCTTCGCCTTCTCGTTCCCCCTCCCCCCTCGCTCGCCGCCAAGACTGATCCTGCCCGCGGAACCCTCTTTCCCCGCGGGCGCCCTCATCGCACACACACACACACACACACTGATCCTGCCCATTGGCATCGCTCGTACGTGTGCCTGTCTCTCGGCGGGAACCACCGAGGAGCCTCCTGGATCCTCTTGCGAGGAAAAAAAAAACACGCGCGAACCCGACAACATGCACGGGGAATAACGGCGTCCGAGCGATGGCAGGGCCCGCGGGACCTTCTTTCCCCGCGGGCGCCCGGCCGTTGAGCGAGCGGCCCTCGCGGCCGGAGGCGCTGTCCAGCGGGGCGCGGGTACCCCGCCCGCGGGAAGGGGCGGAGGAGAGGGAGGACGAGGGAGGCCG